AAATTCTTACATTTTTTGCTAATTTCACTATATGCAAACATTAAATCCTAACTCCAAATGTGTAAATCTAAACGTAAAAGTTACTTTAATGTTTTTGGCTATGTTGACGTTTTCATTTAAGTTTTTTGGAATGGAACAAAGTCTTTGCCCTTGGTATCCGATTCTTGTTGTGATGTCATCATCCTCAAAACATGGCAACCACTGACGCTGCTAACTGTGATCATGCTGCTAGCTACAACACAGCTAATGCTTCCCTACAACAGTGGTTCCTGACCCTGCTCTTCTCTTCAGAAGATTATTAATCACTCATTCATTCAAAACAGGTGTGTCGAATCAGGGAAACATCTAAAACATGCAGGACAGGAGTCCTTGAGGACCAGGGTTGGGAACCACTGCTTTTAATGATGATAAACACCTCAAGAGTTTCTCTGAGCTTGATGAGACATTTTCAAAATATAATATTGACTAAGTTTTATGGKTTTTTTTTAGTGTTGCTTATAGAAGCCATTGATTCCTTCTATCTGTAAATAATAAATCAGATAACATGTATTAAAGCAGTGGTTCTGAAAGTTTTAGATGTTTCCCTGATTTAGCACACCTGGTTTGAATGAATGAGTGATTAACAATCTTCTGAAGACCTGCTGAATAGCAGGGAAACAAGTAAAACATAAAGGATAGGGGTCTTTGTGGACCAGGGTTGGGAACCACTGCCCTACAAGACGTCAAACCTGTAGTTGCAGCTGGTGTTGGAGCTGCACTTCAAACTGCTGGACCTGGGTCTAGCTTGCACGTGATTACTGCTAACGCTGCAAACGCTGCTAAAAATAGGCCTCAGTAGGCCTATTAGCTTTGCTAACACTGCTGAAGGTAGCAGGCATGTGTGTTTCGGCAGTTTGAAGAGCAGCAACTACAAGTGATGCCTTGTAGGTAAGCGTTAGCTTCATTGTAGCATTAGCGTTTGCTATTGTCTCAGGATGATGACATCACAGCAAGAATTGGGCACCAACAGCCAAGTCTGCATTACTTTCTGCAGTACTTCAAGATTTAGGCACTACATTTACTMCATACCTTTACATTTAGATTTAAGATTTAATATTATTTAACTTTTAAACTTAACGTTTAGTAAAAATTTGTAAGATGTAAGCACAGTGAGCTAAATAATGAAAATGTTATTGACATTTTATTTTACACTTGGCATCCTATATTATTTAAACTTCTTTAAACATTCTTTATTTCTTCATTTTATTAAATTAAAAAAAGTCTACACATCTGTTTGTTTTTTTACTATTACAACTGTTATAGCTTTWCACAATATATGATCGCCTAATTGATCACCGCCTCCAACTCGAGCTGCGTATCCTTGAACGAACAAACATGAGCTGCACTGGCCCTTCAGCCACCAGTCGTCGTATAGGCCCAGCAGCCCTTACTGGCACGATGAATTTGATAAATCTCCTTATCGCCCCGGGAGACAATTAAAGCGCATGTGACAGGGGTCCCTATCTCCGCTCTCCTCCTGTAGTGCTTCATTTAGAAGCCATTTGTCTCCGCTATGGATTTCCTATTTTTAATGGCGTGCGTGTGCAGGGATCGAGGCCGTACTGAATAATAGATGCCTTTCACTTCCTCTCGTTCCCTTTAATTCCCGCCCCTTCTCTCTTGTTCGTTTCTTTCTAGCTGGAGCCCACAGGAAGGTGTCACTCTGGCAACCGAGTTGCTTTGCCTCTTGTGCTCGCCCGAATCTGGCAGGAGGCTATTCAACAACGCCAACGAGGCTTTTGGTGGACRCCATCAGCTGACAGTAAACTGATATCAACCGGCCCACCTCAGCCTCCCCCTCCTTCCCTTATCCTCAGTAAAAGACGTTTATCACCGAAAGCTGGGCCGCTGTGTGGAGTGGTGATATATCGCCCTGGCTGAGYGCGAATGAATAGACTAGTAATTATCCCGTTAAAAGGGTGGCCAGACAAAGAGAGGGTCTCGCTATAATTTAAATTGTTTTGTTTCCCCCGCAGTCGAATCTTGGCTCGCTGACTGACACCGCGGAATGGGAAAAGTGAGCCTATTTATAGCCTGAGACGCTCAGCTAATTGTAGAAYTTAATAAGGTTTCTGGAAGAGTGGATTCGGTAAAAGCCCAAGGCCTGCACCTCCTCTCCACCCTGCCCTCCTTCACATCTCTCTCTGGCTTTTCAGCTTCATTCACTTTCATATTTCTCTCTGTATCTTTCACTCCTCTAATCTTGCATTCCTCTATTGTTCCATCTTCTGTTTTTATTATTTTTTTTCCTGAGTCCTAACCTCGCTCCCGCGCACCCAACAACCCCTCAGTTTTTCCTCCCTTCCCTCACCCTGTTATCGCCTATCACATGAAATCCACCTTAAACTAATACTCCTCTCAGTCTGACTGCGTGCCTCTGATTGTGTGATTCTCAACATGTCACAGCAGCTTAAGGTGTGCAAGGATTTGTGTGTGCGCGCGCWTCTATGATTACGACTAAAGATGCGTCCAAGTGTGTGTTTCGCGTGTGCGTTCCGGGAGTGYGCATGCTGCTGGTCTCGTCTGGCGTGTGTGAGACAGGGGTAATTGAGCTCAGAGGGTTTTCTGTCTTTGGTGGCAGAGGGGAAATTGGAATCTTCAGAATCCATTAGAGAGGTCCTCTCACAGTAGGTGTGCACATGTTTTGTGAGTCTGTTGAGTCTGTGTGTACGCCATGTAGTGACAAAAAGGAACAGAGGAAAAGCAGCRTGTATATTGAACGGTAACAATGCCAGGGTTGGAAAGCATAAATATGAAATTTAAAATCGCCAATTAATTGAAACGGTCTTGCTTGCATGCTTTGTTGTGTGTTCAGATGTGTGTGAAGTCCCAAGTGTGCGCAGGTTCTGCTGACTCTAACTGACTGAGTACCTTTATAGACTGCAGGAGAAACGGGGGATAAAAGAAGGAAGTGTAGAGAACAGCAGGTAGCCAACAGCAGATGGTCTCACACTTCCTCCCTGCAGAGCTATCACTCTCCTCTTTCTCTCTGCTCTCCCGCCTCATGTTGTTTCCTGCTTCACACGTCGTATATAATGTATCATTTCACCTCAGCGTCCTTGGTCACGTACCGTATTTACTGTCTTGAGCTTACCTCACTGCTAAACTACCATCCGCTGGCAAGGTTTATGGTTAATTGTTACAGCAAGGTGTTCAAGGATAACAACAAAATTATGCTTTTTTCCCCCTTTCTTTATGTAACATCCTATAAAATAAAATATAGATATATAAAAATCAGCCACAGATGCCACGGATCAAATCATAGATTTCAGGTATTGTCAAAAACTATTTCATGTTTTCAGAGTGTCATGTTAGGAACACAGGGCATAGCTCTGATTTTGCTGCAGCACCGTGTTATTTGGATCTTTTATGGTCGTCAATATTTTTCCTTAATAGAGGAGTAAATCTTAGCTGTTTCAAAATTAGATACAATTATTGTATTTGTGATGTTGACAATTTTACTGTGATGTGTTTCTTTTATTGATTAACCTTACAGTAGAAACAGATTGAGAGCTCGTCAATTTCTTCAAAACATTCTGTTTAAAATCTGCTTCAGCTCACTCGCTGTATTTGTCGTGTCATATTTTAGTTTTCAGCTACACTAGTATGTTCTGCATTTTAAGCTTAGATACCTTTTTGCTACTTTAAGCAAGCCTTTTGCTATTTTTTTAGGTTTGGCCAGCCTTAACTTGTTTTTGACAAGGTTTAGCTTTTAACCAACTTTTATCTTCTTGTTAGCATTTTGCTACTTTTTGCTAACTTTTTAATTATTTTTTTTCAAAATTAGCTTTTAGCTAGCCTCTCGCTATGTTAGTCTGTTACATTGCTAATGTTTTGCTTCTTGCTCGTAGTTGGCCTTTGCTACGTGTTTTGCTACTTTCATCTTTTAGCCATTATTCTGGTTATTTTAGCTTTGATAACTCAGTCACAGCTTCTTCTGCAATGTTCAGCAAATTCCTTCAGCCCTCAGCATTCACACTGCATTTTCAATGAAACAAAACTTTTTATAGCTAGTTTCTTTTTTTTAATCTCAATCAGTCTATAATTTATGATGGTAAACTTTCATTTTTATCAAACTCTTAATATTGTTTTGTGATTTTATCAATAAAAAGTCATGCACGAGTATTAAGATTCATGTTTTATTAATGATTTCTCACCTCTAATCACTGTGGAAATTTGAAGTGACACTGTAGTTTATACTTTTAGATGCATCTGCCTTTTTCTTCCTCTACTTTAAATCATTACAACATTGCTGCACTGTGGTGCTCAGTTTGTGCCTTTATATCATATTCAATATTATTACACCCACATTATATGTGTGCAATACATCACAGGGTCAAACACACAACACAGACATGCATTATACCTCCAATCACCAGTTAACGTAACGTGGAGGGTTTTGGACTGTGAAAGGAAACTGGAGTAACTGGAAAAGACCCATGCATGCATTAGAAGACATGCAAAGCGTACACACAAAAAGGCCTCTGCTGAGACTCAAACTGAAAATCTAACTGTAAGCTGACAATACTGATGAGTGCATCACTGTGCAGCTTCTTGAGTTAATTCAAGATGAAAAATAGTTTGAAACAAATTGCAGAAACTGTTTATTTTCTGCCCCCCCTTTTTTTAGAAAGTTTCTGCAACTGGTATAGAAATTAAAACAATGTCTGCAGGGTGTTTAAAAATACCTGGTTGCATCTGGAAAGTCACAATGTACACAGTGACACCTTCTGTCTGCTATGAGTTTATTCTGGTTGCTCTGCTTGAGTGATGTTCTGGAACAATGTAACGAAGCACGACACAGACTGTGACGAAATAACCCCTCGGTTAGCGCTGTCATCTCACAGAATAAAGCTTCCTGGTTTGAATCTTAGCTGGTGTATTGGATTAGAATCCAAAATGACTTTAAAAAACAATATGGTGACTAAATTAAAAACAGTTTTTTACTTGTATTGGCAGACTCCAGACTCGGAACTGCTGCCTGCCACCATTTAAGGTGAGCAATTGTGTGTGTGTGTGTGTGTGTGTGTGTGTGTGTGNGTGTGTGTGTGTGTGTGTGTGTGTGTGTGTGTGTGTGTGTGTGTGTGTGTGTCTGTTGACAAAATATCTCATCGACCACTGGACAGATTTGAAAGAAAGTCTCACAAATTAGTTACTGGATGCACGTCTGCATCTGATTAACTTTTGGAGTTAATCTGATTTATAATGAATTCCACAGCTTATTGATTTTAAAAAACACAAAAATGGCCATAAGTCAGTCATGTTTATATATGATGAGCTAAAATTTGCTGCTACTTTCATGTTGTTTTATTTTTTCTTTTGCAGTCATCCCTGACCTTAGTGACTTAAGATTGTTTTTTCTTCTAATTTGCACCAATCAAATGTGTAGTCAAATGAAATGGGTTCCGATGCTTTATATTCAATTTATAAAACTTACAAACACCTCATGTTGTATATTTTGAAAAGTACTTTGGTTGGGCCTTTTAAATACAGTGTATAAAAAATAAAATCTATATTGTGCAAAAGAAAATCATTACAAAGTAGATTTTCTTTCCCCATTTACTCCTCAGCCATAAATTGCATAAATTACAAAGTTGCACGGGCAACAATCCAGACAGATTAACAACCCCTYCAGTTTTACAGGAATTTTAACTGACTGATTAAAAGAGAACAAATACATCAAAKGTTACTTTCTTGTCAATTAGCGTGATAAGTGTGGAAATTTCTTCAAATGTATTGTTGAGAAATTTTAAGGTGGGGTTTCTTTGGAAAGGTTATGAACAATTCTTATCTTACCTGTTGTAGATGGCTTTTTGAACCGTTTGGAGAGTTTTATTCTGACACAAATGGAATGAAAAAATTATTATTGAATAATCCAAGCAGAGCCAGGGCAAAAATATATTTCTGCCATCCTTGAACATCTTTAATCKCTACATTTTTTTAATGGAGATTGATGTAAATACTTTTTTTACAAACCTTTACGCTGCAATCATTTATACATTACATGGTTATTCCAGCAGAAATATTATACCTTCCTGCTGGAAGTGCCCCAGGCAGCAGTGGAAATGTCACCGTCAGTTGCTGCTGCTGCTGTTAGTGCTCTCAATTAACCATAAAAGTCTATGTGAATACCTATGTAATGCAAAACTGACATTGATGTAAAGACTTATGAACAGTTCACATGAAGTTCTTTTTTTTTTTTTAAATATCAGAGTTGTTTTAAGGCAGCAGGAATCTCCTTTGGTTTAGCCATTAGCTCGTCAGAATCAAATTTTTTCTCTAAACTAAAATTTTAAGAGTTATTTSCAGCTTTAGATAAATCAGTTGTTCATAACATTTACACAGACCCCTGCTTCCAATACTCTGCGACACAGTTTTGCGGCTAAACTTTGTGCTGTTGAGCGAAGCAAGCTCAGATCGGTCACACTGTTAGCGCTTTAGCTGCAGCTTCTTTAACAGGGGGATTTCTTCGTGTGTCATCAGTTGTGTGTGTAAAGTCATGTTTGTGTTGTGCGCTTTGACTGATATGAAGGTGCATAGTGCAGCAGGGATGTATACATTAGTACGTGTTTCTGTGTGTCTGTGTGTGTGTGTGGTTGTGTAATGATTAGCCTTCTCTTAATGGGAAAATAACGTCAGAGCCACTGGAACGTTTAATCCATCTGAGCTGATTCTGTTTCCATCACAGCTATTGATCAACTCCAGTGACAAATCAACAGGGGGGTTACTAGTGTGTGTGTGTGTGTGTGTGTGTGTGTGTGTGTGTGTGTGTGCGTGTGCGTGCAGAGGAGAGGATCTTACACAGCACTTTACCGTGTCACAAACCAAACTCCTAATGCAACAGTAGACTCCAATAAGGTGCTTTACTGTTGCTTTGTTCTCTCATTCAGTCTCTTTCTTTCACTCTTTTATCCATCTTAGTTAGTCTCTACTTTTTCTTTTTTTCTTCCTTTTTTATAAGTCTGGTTCCCTCTTTCCACCGTCCCTGCACCCACCCCTCCGTTCCTCCATCTCTCAAGTCTTTAAGTGGTATTGGCTTTAAAGGGGCAGCAAATCAGTTGCTGATTAATACCGAATTTTGGGGGCCATTTGTCTGCACCATTGCCCCTGTCTGTGTCACCTCCCTCCCCCCACGAACCTTCCCACCCTCTTTCTCTCCCTCCACTTCCTCCTTCTCTTCACCACTCCTCTTGTTCTCCTTCCCTAGGTGGTGATGAATGACCGGCCGATTGCCGAGGGATTAGAGTGGTCACGGTTACCTGTGCCTTGACAAAGTGGTCCTGATTGGTGACCAAAGCACTCTATGGGGGAGGGGGGCGGGGTTATTCATATCTCAGAATTTATTTGTGTGTGTGTGTGTGTGTGTGTGTGTGAGTTTTCAGTTCCAGTTGAACTTGTGTGTGGTCTGTATGTACCAGAATGCCCAGTTGATCATGCTTGTTGCAGTGATTAGAGGCAGGTCTCTGCTTGTGTTTTGAACAGGTCCGGTTCCCCTGGACGCTGATACCGTGTGACAGAGATTGGCGAGGTCCCGGCAGCGATGTGACCACACTGACACCCGAGAACCCAGTAAACGGGTGCTATTGGACACTGATGAATCGGCGCTCAGAGGAATCGAACACTGGCCTAATCAGTGCATGGATCCCCCTGCAGCAACATTTTTCAGTTTTGTCTTGCCTTATCAGGTGAGGGCCATCAGCTCTGTCAGGTCCTATTGGCACAGCCCCTCTGTCACTCACACTTGTGATTAGGTGCATTACAGATGATCAAAAACAAGCGGTGTGCACTTGTGTTCAAATCTGTTTCTTCTCAGATGTACTGTTAACATCTGGTTCAGGCTCAGAGACTGGAGACAGAATCTGCCCCACTTTCTCCGGGCTTTACTCCACATCTTTGCTTCATAAAAACACTAATATTTGTGACACAGCAGAGCCTTTTTTTTTTCTGTTTATCCATTGCAGTCTGCGAGTGCCAGCTATAAACTGTGCCGGGTAATGTGAGCAGAACGAAGCAGATGCTACCTGTTACTTAGTTTACTTACATTTTTTTAGCATCAGTTTTTAGTTAATTGTTTAATTATAAGCCATACAGTCCTAAACATCTCCTTCTTTACTCCTAGGCTCCAAACCACATGTGTCAAACTCAAGGCCTGTGGGCCCAATGTGGTACATCACAGCATTTTATGTGGCCCGTGAGAGCAAAGATTTATTCATGTCTTAAAATAAACGCATGCTGCTTTAAAGCAGATATTGACCATAAATTACATCTCCCATAATGCATGTTGATTATTTCACTTGTGAAATGATGGCATCCCACCACTAGGTGGAGGTGCACAGGGTTCAAAACATAGACTTAAATATATAGATCACTAGACTGAGCCCCGCCCATACTGTACACTGGTAGCATCTGTGACAGCATGGAGGAGCAAAAATGGCGTCTAAAAGGGCAACAGTTCACAGCCTCCATAGAAACTAATAGATAAACAACAAGCTGAACTGGATCTGTATCACAGATTATCAGTCATGTTTTTACAATAAATTAATAATTATGTTAATTTCATTCAACAAACGTAAACGGCAGATTTACACCAGAAAAATATCTAATTTACAAGTAACAATGATCTAAACCAGACCTGAAGTCAACCTGTAATTTAGACTTTAGCTAGTAGAAAAATGATGACTTCAGCTAGTAATAAAGTATATTTATTATTTCTTCTTACTGTCATAAAAAATAATAATATTTATATTTACCAGTCAACAGTTGGAACATGTTCTCTGGTTATAGGATGAAACTTATCTCTATTAGCTAACATCTTCTTAACAAGTCAGGTTCCTCTAACAGAAACCTAAAAATACTCACATTTGTAATATTATTTTACACTCTGTAAATATTAATCAGAGGACAAATCAGCTGTGATATTTAATAGTTTGTTAAATTGTAGCATGAGTAAACAGTGCTAAACTCTGTATATATGCTCCACAATCTAACATCTGCTAACCAGTTTAATAACTGACAGTGATTACATCGACCTTATGAGATTATTTTAATTTTAAACTGTTACATTAAGCTCAGCTCAGATCACATTGAGCTAAATAAGATCAAATCTGCTGACTTGTTGTAAAATGAGACGTTTTCCTGTTTATCTTCTGTTAATAAATCCATAATACAAACAGCCTTTCTGACATTATATAAAACATTAGATAGATTATATGAACTGTAAAATATTAACAATAATTGGATTAATATTATTATTAATAGTTTTAATGATTTCTACATCGTCAGTCTTTTTTTCTGCTCTGTTGCCAACATGTACAGTAAAGGGAAATCCAGAGTTTTGCCCGTTTAGCGTTAGCCGTTAGCTTCACCAGCCGATCACACGGTCACAGGGTTTTTGCGCACTCCAGCTGTTCCATAGAACCTCCTTGGTTCAAAAGTAGTCCGCAACTTTTGCTGTGTGCGATTACCATTTCACTGCATTTTTGCTGGCTACTTGTGCTGTGTTCTAGTTAAATTGGGAAGTGGGAATTTTCCACTTACAATCTGTAAACATAAACTGGAACACTCCTCCAATGGGAATTCCCTGTTAGAAAGTGGGAAGGTTCAGAATTCAAGATGGCAACAGTGAGTAAAACTCTTACTTTTACTTTTAATAGCATTACTGTATTATTTAGTCCCCGTTTAGTCAGTTGCACACTTGGCACATTTCAGTGTTTATAAGAGAAAGTGTTTAAACACTGTTTCTATGCAGGTAATACCAAGTAGAGCTCAGTTATTTTTTTAATTAGCTGTGCTCTGGCATAGCAATGAGATGAGGACAGTATGAAATGTCAAAGTTAATTAAAACGGGCCTTTAGAGAGAAACCATAATACTCACAAGGCCCTCAGYAAAAATAAATCTTAATACACCTTTTGTTAAAAATAAATAAATAAAAAACATTCTACTATGAGATTTATATAGAGAGCTGGTTGGGGTGAGTTTTTATTGCTAGTTACTTTTTAAGCCTTAAAATAGGGCTGTTTTATTATCTTAACTTAAAGATGACTCAACTATTTTCCTTTTCAGGATATCCTTTAAGACAGATAAAAGGGGCTTTCTCTGGTGGATTCCTCAAAGAAGCAGAGAGGAAGATCCACTGAGGAGGAGGAGAAGATCGCTCCTGTCCCTTCAGGCTACGGGGGCATGAAGAATGGGGAGATGGAGATATGAAGGGATGTGTAGTTTGGCTGGAAGATGATTATATCAGGGCAGCAGAGGTTGAGGAAGAGCTTTGACTAATTATAGTCATCTATTATAGACACAATTAAAATCTGGCTAATTTACTGCAGCTCGACACTCACACACCCAGCTGATTTATACTGGAACTCAATGACACCCAGAGGACAATGTCACACAGACACACAAAATTCAAACATGCATGTACTAAATGTTCCTTCTGCTTGTTTCCTGTGCTAACAACATTAAACACATTGCACATAATATAATCTTATAAAGACATATCTGTGCAAGAAGTAAAAACTAAAAAACAAAAACTGTTGTGTTACCAACTTAAACTACATTTTGACTTGAGTGATTTTCACTTAATATTCCATATCTCCTCAAGAATAATGTTAGATCTTTTGAATTGGGGTTCGGTGGAGATGTTATGAAATATATATTTCTTGTGTGTTGTAGATCCTGTTTGAAGAAATAAAATTCAATTCTGACTGGACTGACAAGTTAAGTGCAAGTGATGCCAACTTAAAACTGTTCATGAAAAAAAAAACAGTTTGGTAGTGCTTTTTGACTTTACTTCACTATCAGTTACTCATTACACAGTTATTCATAAAGAAATTGTATGTTGTGTCCGCTGTAAGTCCTACAGCTAGCTGCTGCTGCTCCTGTTCACACTTGTAAACCACCAAATTCTATGTATATAAATGTGAAATAAAACATTTACAGCAGTTTAATGGATGACAAAACAGTTTTTCTGCTATGTTAAACTTTAGGTTTAAGGTTTAAATTTATTAATTTCATTTCATTTAAAAACAAAACAAATTCTACAAAAAAAATACAAATCACAAATAACATGAATGGCAGCAGAAAAAAGTGACAATATTATATTGACCCCTTTGGAAATAAGAAAATAAACTTAAACGATAATAATATTCAAGTAGAAAAACAAAACATCAACAATCAACAACAACAATCCTTCTCAAACAACAACTGATGTGATTTGATTTGATTTATTGATTCAACAGGAAAAGATTACTAAAAATCAAACCTGACTCAGTATAATTGCTGTTTTACAGCAGGTTCCTGTTCTGCAGCACATAAAACACTCAGAAATACAGCATCACAATCACATCATTATACACCATAGACACAAAGACAAACAAGCATACCAAATTTCAAAAAGGCAGCATTTGCAAAATAGGATGTCTAAATATGAGCACAACAAAAAGTGTACTAAAACTAACTCTATATACAACAGAAGAAAAACCATTAAGTAAATAAATAAAATGAAAGGCAGCAGAAAGAAGAAAGATATCTTATTATATCTGCCCCTTTTTTCCCCAAGAATAAATTAAAACAAAAGTCATTTACAAAAAACAAAAATTAAACAAAATCAATA